AAAACCTTGAGTGTACATTAATAACTCACCGAAATAATGAGGTAGAACACACTACGGTGACCGCCCATGTGTCAGGGACGTAGAGTGGCTATCTCAGGAGCCTCCACCCCCTGATTACACTACCGCGTACGGCCCCTGGCTCCTTAAAACTAGCAGGCGCCATCGTGGCAAAAAGCATCTTGTTAACAATGATGCAGATTGCGTCATTCGCTAAAGAGACACAAATGAACAGGAGTTTTTCTTTGACACGTACAAAAATTATTTAACCTGTTTTAAACAACAGTGTGACTAATGCAATATGTTAGCGTTACTAATGGTGTATTATTAGAAGCTCGATCTCAATTTCTGATTGTCTAAAAATAGATGCTAATTGCATCATTCACAAAGTGGCGAAACTGTTTGGATTTTTTTTAAGGACAAAAAGAAACATCCCAGTTAATAATCTAACCTTGGTTAATTTAACTGATTATTAAAATAAAACGTATTACCTGGCCCTCAGTGGCCCATGTGAGCCTTTGGGGGCCGAAACTGACATTTTTGTTAGCAGCCAAACCGCACTCTACCAGGGCGCCGGAGGACACGCCTGATTCAATCTAGTGAGCGTTTGTAACGTCCCATCCTATCCATTGTCTATCACACTGTTTAGACCGAACGTAGTCGCCATAGCGCTCACCGGAAATACCAGGGCACCAAATCGTATCCTGCCGGGGGGCCGCCAATGCAAAATTAAATCCCCACTCCCACCACCAATCACCTCTCCACCCTCCCATCCCAGAAACCTTCTTGGGAGTATTCATCAACTCCCTAAAGTTTTATGGCACCTGGATAAACTGTGTCAAACCGAAATCGTCTTTTATCCCACCACCCCGTGGCGCCGCCCATGCAAAATTAATTTTTTTTACAGAAGCCTCACCTGAAGTGTTCTAATGAACTTTCAAAAGTTTGATAGCGATCGGATGAACGATGTCAAACCACAATCAACTTTTATTTATATATATATAGAGAGAAAAATCGCACCCTCCTGTGGCGCCGTCCTGGCGAAAATAAAAATAATTTTTATACAGAACCCTTCCCTGTGGTGTTCTAATCAACTCCCCAAAGTTTGATGGCGATAGGATGAAAGGTGTAAAACCGCAATCAACTTTTATTTGTACATACCGTTTATAGAGAAAATACAAATCGCTCCCTGCTGGGGCGCCACCCCTGCTAATGTGAAATTTTTTTCTGCAGAAACCTCCCCAGATATATTCTTAGCAACTTCCCAAAGTTTCATGGCGATTGTGTAAACATTGTCACTACAATTCACTTTTATTTTTTTTTATATACCACATGTAGAGAAAAATCGCAAACTCTTTACTAGAATGTTCTAATGAACTTATTAAAGTCTCGCTTTCATTTATAGTGATATAACTAGTAGTGCATTAATATATTTAAAGAAAGTAATTTTTTTATATTTAAAGAAACCGCAGATTTATAATATTTTTAAAAATTATTTTATATTTAATAGAAATTGTATTATTTTCTTCTTTTTAGTGCATTTATAAAAGCTTGTAATCATAAACGTTTTTATGTATTTATTATTATTCAGTATTCCTTTCGTCTTGTCTATAAAGCATAGATCAAGGCAGTAGTTTGTCAACTAACTAAATTTTGTTGTAAAGCTCAAGCTATGAAAGTTTGGCATCAACATTCTACCTTTCTATATTATTTTAAGAAAGAATAACATTTTACATTGAGTAGTGTAATACCATTTTTAAAAAAAAAGATACTTATTTGCTTTCTTTTTTGTTCTATTCTTGACTGATGCAAATGGTTGATATTTGCGCAACAGGGTTATCAAATTAACACAATATATATTTAAAAAAGCCTTTAAATCAACGGTAAGTGGACATGCATTTTTTAGTCTATTTTAGGTTTATTCATTATCCTCATTTCCCGTTCATATATATATATATATATATATATATATATATATATATATATATATATATATATATATATATATATATATATATATATATATATATATATATATATATATATATATCCTATATTATCCCAAGGTCTCAAATTTTTATAATTTTTTGATATGGTTTAGCTTTTGGGCACTGAAAGAAGGAATGACTATGGATTTTTTTTTAAAATAAATACTTTTTTAAATATCGAATTTTTAAAAAAACGTCCCATAAATGGGACGCTAGCAACGAACGGCCCCATGTACATTTATTGAAAAATAAAATCATTTATCACGAAATATGGCTAATCACGCGAAAATTAAGCTGTATACTGATTTTGTATTGTTAGGCCAATGATTACATTGTTTAGGACAGCTAAAAATAATGATAATGATCAATTGGGTTAGCCATACCATGGTCTAAAATGCAGAAATTTTGTTCAAAAGTCTATTTTTCTTTCAATCTAGCTTCCATCATAGTGAACAACACTTGGAAATAAGTAAAGCTGTGACTACTACATCTAATTATACACATATGATCACAAATATTGTTATTATTTATCGAAACTGTAATATAATTAAATATAAATAATTGATTTTTTGGTGGGCGTACTGGAAATTTTCAGGGGGGGGAGGGACTTAAATTTCAGGGGAAGGGTGGACATTGGTAAAAGTATGTTTTGCATATATATTCCATTTTGATCTGGGTGCAGAGCCCCCCCCCCCCCCCACTCCTCTCCGAAATGATGCTTGACGGAAACTCTGCCCTCAGTGAATTTGCAAAAGACGATCCGGTCCAGTCCCAGATGTCATCCAGCCATCTTCTCTTTTGTTACCCTTGCTATTCCCCCCCCCCTCACAGGCGTACATTAGGACATCAGACATCTTATGTCTAGGGCACGGATCTGTTTCTGGGGGCTTGTATTGAGTGTTCATGGCTCTCATCCATGTATGCACCTCACTATGCGAACAGCTCCCAATCTAACACCAGGAATCTCCTTAAAAAGTTAACAAAGTAAAACTGGTATCGGCAACCTTTGGATGGGAATATTACTGGGGCATGACACTAGTACACAGCTAATTCACATTTCTGCTATATGTAGCTTGAGCTCTTATATGAAGAGAGTTAACCAACCCCCTTGACTGAATCATTTCACCTCAATCGTGGCCATTGTTATTATTCTGGTTTGTTATAATTTTAATATCACGCGCTAGTAAATTTAAAGCAATACTAAATTAGTTTGTATTCAATGGTATTAAATACTTCAGTAAGCGTAATTCTGAAAACTTAAAAATAAAATGTAAGTTTTTCAATATTTGCAATTTTTTAATACAATAATATATAAGAAAATATAGCTCAAGGTCATAATTAAATATCTATAAATACTACTTAACATCCTAAAGTCAACAGTTAACAAAGTCAACAATTTTTCACCATAATTAACAATTTAACATAAATATGTGCATCTGTGTTTCTCGCTAGTGTCCAATAAATGTGACGTTTGTGTAACAATCTGCATAAATATAGGTCAAGGTCATAATTAAATATCTATAAATAGTACTTAACACCCCAAAGTCAGCAGTTAACATAGTCAACAATTGTTTCACCATAAATAACCATTTAACATAAACATTTGCATATGTGTTTCTCGCTAGTGTCAAATAAATGTGACGTTTGTGTAACAATCTACATGGGGCCATTCGTTGCTAGCGTCCCACTTATGGGACGCTTGTTGTACACTTGATATAGCGAAGTAGTAAAAAAAAATTTTTATTCTTAAATTTTTATCAGATAGAAATATGGTACTGCTACAAGTTTCAAATGTATTTTGCACTTAAAATGTTAATATTTTAGAAGATATGCATTTTCCTGTGCGCATGTTTTCTTTTTTCCGCCATTTTGACAAGTCCTGCAAATCCGGCACTATAACATTTTTCTAAATTAATTTTTTTCACAAAACACACACAAATTCAATGAAACATAATTTGTGTTTTAACTAGTTTTTAATAAATTTTAGCAATTTTTTTTACAAGCGTCCCATAAGTGGGACGCTAGCAGAATATGGGATATATATATATATATATATATATATATATATATATATATATATATATATATATATATATATATATATATATATATATATATATATATATATATATATATATATATATATGTACGTGTACGTGTACGTGTACGTGTACGTGTACGTGTACGTGTACGTGTACGTGTACGTGTACGTGTACGTGTACGTGTACGTGTACGTGTACGTGTACGTGTACGTGTACGCGTACGTGTACATGTACGTGTACGTGTACGTTTACAGGTTTTATATATTGCAATACAGATTAAAGAAATGATTTTTAAAAATCCTATTATTTTTTAATCCAGGCATATTGTCATAGGTGTTGCCTTAATAAGTATCGAACTCTAGCACTGAGCAATTATTTTATGTATTACCCGACAATGTAAAAATGTATAACGGTGCAAGATTTGGAAGTAAAATAAAGTAAGTTCTGTCTCTTTTAATGATATTTACGCAAAACGTGAACATTTTTTAGTATAATATTATGTTGAACTAGCATTCACGCAATTAATCAGACATCTAAAAGTTTTGCATAAGACGTGGGACATAACACGTTGTTTTGTTTTCCACCTTGTTGAGTGTAGAGGCTAAAACCTAATTCAAAATGGCGTGTGCCTTTTTATCAGTGTGGTAATGTGCGTGTCTGTGTTCTTCTGAATGTTAGCATATGAGCTTATATGTATTTATGTATTTCAGCGTCTCTTTGTGAGCATTTGTATGTATAGGCCTACGTGTGATCTCATTTATGAATTAACTAATTAATTGTTTTGCGCAGACGAAAAACATTTAAGCTATTCAAGAAGGAAGTTAAGTTGGTATAAAGTATATTATCTCTATGCTGACATTGATGTGAATTTGGACTCCGCCACTGTAAACTAACTTAGGTACCATCTGTATATGACATTGCATACGTGGACTGTCTGACTGAAGTTTAATTGCCTTAGTCCCCCGCCATTACTGTGATAGTCAACAAGAGGTAGAAAGCTGGCAGAAATCATATTGAATTTCAAAAAAGAATATTGTTTGAACGCAAAGATGTACCTTGCTGGCAGTTAAGTTTTCAATCACATTGTAGAGTAATTTGCGCTCTCTTGTTATCTTATATTTTATTTTATTATGCTAATATTAAATCAGGCTATTGCTTTGAATGATATTCTCTCTTTACATCGGCAATGTTACTTTTTTTATTAACACGTTTTTATTAACTCAGCTGCGCGTTTGTGTGTTTGTTGTTAAAATTGACATCGAAAATTAGCCCACTTCTGATTGCTCTATAGATCTGAAATTTGGCATGCAGGTTACTTTCGCCTAACAATTTCAGATGCAATCATAAAAACTAGCAATTAGAGACCGTAATTAGCTCAATTTAATTACGCCCAAAGGACCATAAAATTGAGGACATGATTTCTAAAGATACCGACAAGACTGGAGGCTTATTGACACAGTTACTTCGGCCCCAATCGATGTGAGCGCGCTGGCCGTGATCGTATAGTGGTTAGTACTTCGCGTTGTGGCCGCGACAACCCAGGTTCGAATCCTGGTCGCTCAAGATTTTTTTAGTCCGTGTATTTATAAACACTTAGTCAATTCATACTTAATCAAGTCATTAGATAAAGTAGAAAATAAACTATATAAAAAACTTTTTTAAAAACCACGTTTTTCATGTGTAGCAACGGACTAAAAAGGAGAAAATAAAATACTTAAAAAAAACTTTTTAAAAAACCACGTTTTTCTTGTGGACTAAAAAGTAGAAAATAACTATTTACATACATTTGATGACAAAAAACGTGGGTCGGGCAGATGGGTCGGGAAATTTGATGGTGAACGTACCCACGTTTTTTGTCATCAAATGTATGTAAATAGTTATTTTCTACTTTTTAGTCCACAAGAAAAACGTGTTTTTTTAAAAAGTTTTTTTTAAGTATTTTATTTAAATAAGTGCTGAGTCAATTTAGCTAAACAGTCATTGTAAAATTGAATAACCGAGACAGTACACAACTAGTGAAGTTATCCGTTTTGGTTTCTCTCAAAAAGTATACAAAGGTATGTCAACGGTAAAGATTATATATATATATATATATATATATATATATATATATATATATATATATATATATATATATATATACAGCCCTGTTGGAAAGCGGAGGTCAAAAGTAAGATTGGCGTAATAGATGAGAAAGCGATATTCAGATTTCCTTCCCCTTATATAAAAGTGGACAGTGCGTCTGGGGTGTACAATTTCTTTATGTCACGTTACGAGTGGTCACATAGTTGGATGATCATATTTTAGTTAGTCTAAATAAACCTCAATAAAAGCGTAGGGGAGGGGGATGTCACATACTACACTAAAAAGAAATATAAAGCAACTTGAAAAAGTATCTTTTTAAGACTTTAGCGTCTCAAAATTTCATAAAAATTATTTTATTAGAGAACCAGTAATATATGAATTTTAATTTATACTGAGAACATAACATCGCGAGCGACGGGTAAGCTAGTTATTTATGTTTATTCAAAGATTATATTTATGTATCCTACATATTGATACATTCAGTTGAAGGCACACACAACATTTTATTTCAAGACCAGAGCACATCCTCAACATGTTGAAGCAGATTCTTGCGTTTGTTTTTCTACTGGCAAGCGTCTCGACTGTGTATTGTGGAGACGCACTGCAAAAGACACATACGGACAACAGCACATTTCAACACCAATCAAAACGAAACGCTGGTTCAACACAGGTTGATACTTATGTATATTGTACTAATATTACTTATATCATGTCTATATTCTAAATAAAATGCGAGTAATAACACAAGAAACGTAATTGCATTTCATTTTCAAAATATTACGAATTTCTAAATGACAATTAATGTGGTAAATGAAAATTAAACATTTAGAAATCTGTGAGTTCATTTATAACTCGAAAACTCCATCGTATTACCTATTTTAAGATTAGAAGAGTCATCATGCATCTGTGTCTACATGTGACATAAATTTATAATGTAATAACTCTACATTGATACAAACAATATGTTTTGTAAATAGTAAATAGCTGAAATTATGAAACCAAACACACACATACACACACGCATATATATATATATATATATATATATATATATATATATATATATATATATATATATATATATATATATATATATATATATATATATATATATATATTTAAAGATTCTAGTTACCAAAATTAAATGTCCCCAGTACCATATGCCTTACTCTGGTGATATTAGACATCCAGTGTTTGATGGTAAAGAAATCTACATTGAAGGAGACATTCTTGAACGTCCCCACAGGTTATAAAATATATGTTTCAAAAAATCTATATAGAAACAAAAACATTTATTTTCAATGAACAAATCTCTGAGTTTCAACACACTTTACGTTTTTTAACTTATCAAACCTTTTTATCTTAATTGTAAAAAGTCTAAAATGATTAAGTACAATGTATGTAGATTTACTGTGGACCTGTGTGAGACTAAAACTTGCTTCAACGACATCGAAATGCAGGCCGACTATCGTTTTGCGACACAGGTATTCTCCATGAATTACAGAAGGAATCTGCATTGGGGAACGGCATCAGAATACAGTGGGAATCATTTAGAAGTAGGGAAAAAATTAAAAATGACAGTTTTGATTGAAAGCCAACAATTCAAGGTAAATTTTGCTTATAGTTACATTTAAATTTCCGTTACTTAATGTTTGAATATTATTCTGATAACATTAAAGATAGTACACGGTTTTAATTTTTTATTGTATATTTTACTAGATATTAGTCAACAGCAAAACTTTTGTTATGAAGGCAGACGTTAGGGTGCCAAAATTAAAGTATATTCGGATTCGTGGGACTGCTAACATTGATTGGATTTTGTATTCAGTAAGAGACATATTTTAATAATTACATACTTTCAATTTTATAATACGTTTCTTTAACTATGAATTTGAATATAGCAATTATATTTCACGAAAAAAAGGAATATTAAGATACATGTTAATTGCTTGATTGAACATAATATAAATTATATATATATATATATATATATATATATATATATATATATATATATATATATATATATATATATATATATACTAATGTATAAAAGACTGCATGCGCACTTCTCTTTCTCTTTCTCTCTCTCTCTTCCTCTCTCATTGTCTCTCTTTCTCTGTCTCTCTCTCAAGCCGATCAAACACTATAATCTGATTTAGGTTCAAAGATATTATCCATGACAGTGTCAATGATAACGGACTCTCTCTATGATACTTTCAACTGAGAAATTCATTGATCGGGCATAATATTTTTAAAGAAATCTTTAACATAAAAAAAATTCGATTCGTTTAATTAACAAATCGTTTAGCGTATTTTTTAAAGATGGATAAAGATATTCAGGGACCATTACTATGGTAATTTTTTTTTAAAAGACACCTTCTATATATATAGTTCACCTCTTTGTTTTTAATTATTTAAATAATATCTGATAAAAATACTTTAAAACATATGCATTTCTTCTTTATTTCTTTAATACATTAGAGTAGTGGTTCCCAAACTTTTTAGAAAGGCGACCCTCTTTTATGAAAAGTAAGTGACCCGCGAACCCCATAGAATTAAAAATCGATATTAGTAGGAAATTAATACGCACTAAATTAAGATTTTTAGTAGACTTTCAATATAATTTATTATTGACAACTGTTTTAATACGATGAGTGAAATGGCATGCTATTATCTAGACTCAACATTTGCCGTAGAGTTTTTGTTAACGCCAGCATTTTACTTATTTCTTTGTTGTGTTTTTAATTAGGGAAGTTTTGAAAATCTATTATCACGAAGATATGTAGACACAAATGGAACTAAAACTCGAAAGGCAATCAATTTCAAGTTGGGGTATGAATAGTGCATATTGCACCAAATTGTCGCAAATCCAAGGTTTGATCTTTCAATTCTTTCAAAGCTGGCAAGCTCAAGGGATGAAGAAAGTGGGACGATTCTTCTTCTTTCAGCTCATAGGAAAATAACGTCGCAGTTCGTTTTCAAGCGATTCAAATAATGCCCAGAATTCTCTTTCAAATTTTTATTTATTTCACATGCTGATTTATTTATCACACTGCAGAGTTACTCAAACATGGCAATATTTCCAAGATTTATTTTTCTATACCAATTTAGCAACTTTGATAAAATGCCCCGCGATTATCATGAAAAGAGATAATATTTGTTCATTTTCCCTGAAGCTACAGTTTAAGCTTATGTTGATGTTCGAATATATCTGCTAGGTATGATACCCTCACCAACCACTCGTTGTCGTTAAAGTATATCGAAAGGTCCTGTTTCCCTTGCACTTCCAAGAACATCTTGATTTCATCTTTCAATACAAAAATAGGATTCACAACATTTCCTTTTGTCCGCCAGAGTACTATTGTGTAGACAGGCAGAGCCTCGTGATCGTTATTCGTGTCTTTGCACAATTCTTTAAATAGGCGGGTGTTTAGGGCTACAGTTTTAATATAATTTACGACTTTTATTAGCAATGGAGTCGGAAGAGTCTTGCTGGCGATGGCATACCCGTGAATCATGCAATGGGTTCTAAATTGACGTTTTTCTGAAAGCCTTAATTTGAACCAAACAAATGACGCACCATCCGTAAAAGCACCACAGCCGTTTTCAGATTTTAATCATCCAGTTTCAAAAAACGTATTTATTTTCTCCATTATATGTTCGAAAAATAGCAACTCCTCTTTGCTAACATCTGAATGAATATATTTCACAAAGACAAGCAACTGCGAACACGAACTCACGCCTTTTGATTCATCAACTTGAAAAGCAAACAATGGTGAAAACTTGATTTCATTCAAACTTTGTTATTTAACATCTACGGACAAGCCTGCTATAACCAGCTGAAAAGTATTATTAGGCAGAGATATTTGTTGCATTTTTACTGCACTGGAATCCCCAAGAATTAATTTCACCATCTTCATCAGGCAAGTTTTGGTGAGATTTTATCCTACTGTGTGTGAGGTTTTCTTTTTGCTTGGCTATTTCTAATGTGACAACAAATGATGATTGTACTAATGCTGTGTTTCCTTGGTGAAAACTTTCTGTTCGATCAAGTCTCTGGCGTTTGCAACTAGTTTTTGCCGACGAAAGAACTCCATATCTTTGTAGGTGTGTTCCGAATGACTCGTTTCAAAATGACGTTTCAGGTTTGAAGGTTTTATAGACTCATGACTAAGAACAACTTTGCACAGTTCGCATTGTTTCTTTTTTATTCCATCTCCAGTAATGTTAGTACAGCCGAATTTCAGATATTCTTCTAAAAATTATTTTTCAATGCTAAGCTTTAGTCTACTAGTTGGCGACCCCCCAGTTTGTGAACCCTAATGATTAGGGCCTAATACAAATTATTTTTCATCCGAAACCTGTGGAGTATGTTGTATATTTAATTAACTTTTTTAAATATATTGCCTTGGTGAGTAGGAGGGAAGGACAAAATATACAAAATATGACTACATTTATAATTATAACATTTATAATAAACGTTTACAGGGTCTATACAATTCCATTTTTAATAATAAACCCTATTAAGTGGATATGCTATGTTTTTTCTATTTTTTACACTTTAAGATCTAAAGCGTTTTGAATACTTTTATCATATTTGGCATATAAAAGTAAGTATTAAACAGCAAAAAGAGGGTCGAAAACAATTTTGGTTGTCATGGAAACCCAAAAAACCTCCGCCATTTTGAATTTTTCGGTACTTTTAAAAATACTAAGGCTTTTTTATTTATGCACCTATAGCAATCAAATTTAAACTGCTTATATTTCAGTATATATTAAAAATTTTGTCACGACAACTTTTTGAAATAATTACTAGTAAGAATTTTGCAAGGTCCAAAAAATCGTAGCCTTTTTAGTATTCAAATGTTTCAAAATGTGCATATTAATTACCAAATACTTTTTTTCTATGAAAGCAATCACAATTCCCTCGTGACAAGTTGTATTTTCGCATCAAGAACATTTACTGAAAATATGGTTGGCATTGTTTAATAAATAAAAATGTAGTAGGCTTTTTAGTGTTAAAAACCTGCGAACTGAGAAAAACAGCCAAAAGTAACGAAAACTAGGTCAGGAAATTACCATATCTGTGTAAACTGCAAAATCCGATTGTAAGCTTTGGGTGTTTCCGAGATGTAGGAAATTAAGTTTATTAGAAACATGAGAAATCCAGCTTTCCAATGATGTAAAATACAATATAATGACGGATATAGAACTTTTCATAGAGAGCTTGTAAGATTGGGAAAAATTGATTATTTTTTAATTAATAGGGTCATAAAAATCGTAATTTAAACACATAAAATATTTTCTCCTCTTTAAAGTTATTATTTTCTTTATGCAAAAATGGACAAAGTATCCAAAAGTGCAAGAAACCCATCATGACGAAAAACAAGAAATTTTGTGATTTTTTTTCCGCGCATATCCCCTTAACCAAATAAAACAGAATCTTTCAAAAAAATATTTGGGTAGTTTCCCTTGACAGTTTTCTATTTGCGTGCATTTTGTGTTTATTTTTGCTATATAATAATTTTTTTTTATAGTCTATCTTTTTTACAAGCTTTTATTTAACTTTCTCCCTCGTCCATTATGTCGTCAGTCTTTATGTCGACAGTCTGTATAAGTAGATCAAATCGCTCTAGCGAAATTTCGGGCATTTTAACTGACAGATTCGTTTCAAAGTTGGCATGTTGGTAAAAATATGAAGACAATGCAAAATGACATTTAATTTGACTTAATTGGTTGACTAATTATTTAGTTTTATTAATTAATTAAAATTGTGTCCAGTTTAGTAGGCAGACTTATCCAACTATTCCGCACCATTATACGCACGTTTTCATGCTCGTTCGATGCGTAAAGTTTTTAGTCATGCAACTCTATTGTAAATGAAAACTTTTTATGTAATAATGCACTAAAAAATAGAAAATAAACGATTTTCTTTAAGTAGGGTAAAGCAGTGCAATGAGAGCCGTGTGGTATTAGGATCCAGTAAGCACACCACCCCCATTAAACCCCAAATAAAACTACAGATCTACGTCTAAGGTTACAACCACTACTGTTCCTTGATAAAAAAGAAGCAGAATATTCTTCATATATCATTTATGGCCCATGTCTGGTTCTTCTATGTCTAGGGGTTAATAGCAACGGACAAATACAACGTATACAACAGTAGATAACGCTAACACCGCTAAACAATAAGATATTATATATATATATATATATATATATATATATATATATATATATATATATATATATATTTATTTATTTATTTATTTATTTATTTATTTATTTATTTATTTATTTATTTATTTATTTATTTATAATCTATATATATATATATATATATAATTCTCTTCATGGAAAACACCACACAGCTAAGCTACCACCCTCATCCCCCACCTATCAGGTGAGCTGTGGTTCACGCCGAATGATTACAATCATAGAGCCGGGTTAGTGACGGCTATTAGGGGCAGATAATTTAGTATTAAACGATTTCAAACGAAGGGGAGGTTACAATTTCTGATTGATCTTCCCTTTGTCTATAAATGCGAGAGGGGGGGGGGGAAGGGACGGCGGAAGGGGGTAGTGTTGAATTCACAATTAATGAACTGCTGATAAGCATAAACTAAAACTAGATGGCGGCGTATACTACGTCGCGGGTCAGCTCGTAAGATAATAAATGATACAATGTTCTACAACACAAATAACGATACTTAACACCAAGTTCCAAGCTCACAGCCACGTCCACAACCACACTACTTCAATCTCCTTCACACACTAGCCACTTTCTAACATCCTTCACCTGATACACATCACATGATCACTTCTCGCATCATGTAAACACA